TTCTCTGGGAATTCCATTCCAGCCTCACCCCACCCTCCCAGCCAGGAATTCCTTCCCAATATCCCATCTAACCCTGCCCAGAAAACAGGGAATGGGACTGCTCAGGAGCAGGTGGACAGGGAAGAGGATGAGCCTGGAATGCAACTCCTCCCCCACCCAAACCAGGCTGTTTGAGGTGCCTGGCAAAGGATCCCTTTCCCAAGGGATTCTGGGAACAGGGACCAACCTTGGCCGCGTAGTGCAGGGCCGGGATCCGCAGGGAAGTGGCTCTTCCATTGACATCCACCCCCAGCTCGGACACCAGGAACTGGATGGATCCATCCTGGGCTGTCACAGCTGCCCTGTGCAGGGCCTGAGCTCCCAGGGCATCCATGGCTGTGGGACAGGCCTGGAATTATGGAAAGTCATGGAATTAATACACAGGGAACTCAGAGCCTGAGCTCCCAGGGCATCCATGGCTGTGGGACAGGCCTGGAATTATGGAAAGTCATGGAATTAATACACAGGGAACTCAGAGCTGAGCTCCCAGGAGATCCATGGCTGTGGGACAGGCCTGGAATTATGGAAAGTCATGGAATTAATACACAGGGAACTCAGAGCTGAGCTCCCAGGGCATCCATGGCTGTGGGATAGGGCTGGAATTAAGGAAAGTCATGGAGTTAACACACAGTGCACTCATCCCCAAGGATATCACCCAATTTCTCGAGGGTTAGTGGTGACTCAGGGCTTGATAAAACCTGGGAGGCACCAACCCTTCCAGTGATCCCAGTGCTGCTCCATGGCCAAGGTTAATTGAGGGAATTAAACCAACTCTCCCACCTTCAGAGCCCGAAATGTGAGACTGAAACCGTCAGGGAACATCCCAGTCCCATGGGAATGAGCCCTGAGGGGGCCCCAGCCGGCTCAGATGGCTCAGCAATCAATAAATGATCAATAAATAATGCAGGGGGCTGGCTCCTGCCATCAATAAATGATCAGTAAATAATGCAGGCTGGGAGGGTGGGGAGGGGCTGGAATGAATCTCCCACAGAAGCTGTGGCTGCCCCTGGATCCCTGGAAGTGTCCAAGGCCAGGATGGAGCAGCTTGGGATAGTGGGAGGTGTTGGGGTTGGAACTGGATGATCTTTAAGGCCCCTTCCATCCCAAACCATTCCATGATCTCCCATCTCTCCCAGCTCAGGGGTGTTTGTTCCTCAGCTCTAAGAATTGACTCTCAAACTGTTTTTTCCCTCTGGTGACAAATCCAGAGGAACTGGGGCCTGTTTGTTCTCCTGTTTGCTCAGAGAGGATTTGATCCCTGGCTCTGCCCAGTGCAGGAGTTCCTTCCCTGCCAGGAGCAGAGATTCCATGGATTTATATTTCTCTCAGTGCCTGAGCGGTGCTGGGGGACATGTCAGGACAATAAACATGGTTTTTAGTCATTTTGAGACCCAGCAAAGCCCAAAAGGCTTCAGAGAAGCCTTTCAAGATCTCCTGGGCTTGGACACCTGGAGATCCCAAGAGGGATTTCAGGCAACCTCTGGCCCCTTCTCTCTGTGCTGGGCAGCACCCAAGGGGCAAAGCTTGTTGCCCAGAGGAGCTGTGGCTGCCCCTGGATCCCTGGAAGTGTCCAAGGCCAGGATGGAGCAGCCTGGGAGAGTGGGAAGTGTTGGGGTTGGACCTGGATGATCTTTAAGGTCCCTCCAACCCAAACCATCCCAGCATTCCATGATTCCTGCCCCAGGGTGAGATCTTCACCTGGATCCGAGTCCTGGTGACCTTGCTCACCTCCAAGGGGAATCTCCCTTTTTATACAATCCCTTTTCTTTACAATCTGGGAATTTTCTTCTTTATGACACAAATTTTCCTTCTTCCCTGTCCTGGCAGGGGCAGGAGAAGTTTTTTTTGGGCACCAACCTGGTGTTTTTCCAGGAGCATCCGGGCGATGTCGAGGTGCCCGTTCTGGATTGCATCCATGAAGGGAGTGACTCCACACTTGTCCCTGCTGTCAGGTCGGTAGTGGCACCTGGGAGAGGGGAAAAAAAGCAAGGACAGAGCTGTTGGCAGCAATCAAATCCTCATGGAAAGAGGCCATCAACACTGGGATCAAAAATGGAACATATAAACCCTGCTGGATAAACCTGTCTCGGTGTTTTAGGGCCTGGGGGTTTTTTTTGGGGGGTCAGAGATTTGGGCAAGCCAGGCTTCTGCAGATGATTCATAATTCCCTTTCCCTGTGCCCAGAGGGTCTCCAGGATGGGCAAGGTGTGCCCCCTGGAAGCAGGGAAAACACCTGGATCCTCGTGTAATGAGGTGGGAAAAATCAGAGCCCACAAATCTCACTGAGAAGAGAAAAAAACTGAATTAAAGTTGAATTAAGCCTGGCTCAAACCACAGAGCCAGGTATTAACAAGGCTGGGCTTAGCTGCAATTCCCAGGGAAAGGGAACAGCGTCAGGCATGACTGGGCTGATTTAAAGCCACTCCACAGCCCAAAAACAAAAGATAAGCCCAGCCTAGCAAAGCTGCACCCCCGGCGCTGAGCCGCCAGAAATCCGCCGCGTTGTTGTTGCCCATCCGGCCTCGGGAATGAATCAGCAGGGAAAAGAAAGGCCGGGTTACATAACTGGGGGTTGTGTCACAGCCGTGGCAGCACATCCAGGGAGAGCCCTTGTCCCCGAGGCCTCCCCCCAGCCAGCTGGGAAAAACCTGGAGCGCGGGGAGAGAGCGCCGGGATCGCGGCTGCTTCCCCAGTGGAAGCGGCACAAGCGGCCTTTGTGTCCCCCCGGCCTGGCAGAGGGTGGGAGGAGGGGGAGGAAAAAGCTGGGAAGAGCCTGCTTACCGCTCCAGGAGCAGCTCCACGACCCGGGAACAGCCGTGCATGGCTGGGAGAGAGAGGGAATACACGGATCAGTCGTGGGAATACACGGCACCCACCCACCCACCGGTGATCAGGGTTCTGATCCTTCTGGCTCGGTCGTGGATCAGGGAAAGGGCTCCAAGAGGCTGGGAATTGGGAGTTTTTGACTTGGTGCTTTTGGCTGTAATTAAAAAAGCCTTTCCTTTCCTTGATCTCCCAGGAAAACGGGAGATAAAGCAGGGAAAAGATACGACACAGGCGCCGTTTGGCTCTACCTGCAGTAGATTAAACCGAATTTAACCGGCACAAAGAGCCTTTTCTCCCAAAGATTTGTCGATTCCCGATGGTAAATCCAGGGAGAAGAAGAAGGGACACAAAGCAGGGAGCCGGGGGAAGAGCTGGGATGGCATCTCCACCCCTCCTCAGCCACTCCCATCCCATCATCCTAAGGAAGGATCCTCACCCAGGCACCGGCTCAGAGGGAAAAACAACAACAGCGGGGGAGGATTTGAACACCCTGCCCTGAAATATTCCCGGTTCATTCCCATTTTTTAAGCATTTCCCATCACACAGCCTTTTTTTTTTGTTGTTGTTGTTGGTTTTCCCTGCGGGTCATTTTGTAAAACAAATGGAATATATTAAGGAAAATAATAATAATATCAAAGGAAGCTTGGAGCTGCTCCCTCAGGAGATGGGAAAAGGGCCCCTGGGAAATGTGTGTTACCAGGAACAACCTTCAGATGCTCCTTGAAATCCCAATCCCATCGTCCCAGATTTTGGCTCTTCTGAGCCCTGAGCTGATGGAAACACAGGCTGGGAATTTCGGGGGGATTTTCGAATGGATTGGCTTTAAAAAAATAAAAAATCCAATTTAAAAAACCTCCATCCTTTGCCAGCAGCAGGAAAAGCTGCCACGCTCGGATCCTGCCGAATTCCACCCCCTCTCATTCCACCTTCCCAGCTCTCTTCCCTCAGGCTACGGATACAGGAAGCAGCAAAAGCTTTAAGGACCCAAGCCCAGGGGAGGAAAATGATCCAAGGATAAGTGTGCCAGGGAGCCAGCTGGACTGGCCACGGGTCAGTGAGCTCATATCCACACCCTTGGGATGGGAACTCATGGACATGGGAGTTTGTCTTGATGGGATTGCCCCTGGCAGCTCCAGCCCCTCCATCCCTGTGGATTTCCACTGGGATTGGGGAGGGGGAGGGAAGTGGGGATATTGGTACCTCCTGGAGCAGCTGCCTCTGGAATCATCCTGGTTTAAGTTCTACTGGGGGAAGTGGTGGTTTAAGCAGCTCCAGCCATTCCCACTTCCCAGTCGCTCCCACACCTGGATCAGCAAAAGACCAGGAATCAACCCAAAATCATGGATATGTGGCTTTTCCACAGGGAAGTCAGACAGAGGAGACAACACAGAGGAGGAGACCCCTCTTTGGAGCAGGAGAACTGGGTGCTGTATCCCAGTGTTGTCTGTATTCCCATATCCCAAGTGCTAGGAGGGAGGAGGCTTCCAGCTCCACATCAAAAATCCCTCTTTTCCCACAGGATAATCCTCACCCTGCTCCCGATCCTTTCCCCAGATCCCACCCCAACACCCAGCTCTCTGAGAGGGAGCTGCCAGCTCCAGGGAAACACAAAACCCGGGATGGGGCCGGGACAGGAGAACACACACCAAAAAAAAAAATCAGGATCCGGCGTTTCCCACTCGGGCAAAGCCTGAGACAAACAACTCATTCCCTTGTTTTTTCATTCCCAGGTCAGGCACAAGGACTCCAGGTGCAGTTGGTGCCCAAGGGCTGGAATTGTCAGTGCTGATGGAGCAGAGTGTGACGGAGAAAGGGCTGGAAAAGGAACGGGAATGACAGGGAAGGAGCAGCACATCCAACAGATTAATTACAGCACAGCAAGGTGGGGGGGGCTCACAACACCTCGGGTCTTTCCAGAGAGTCAATCCCTACTAAATTCTTTGGGAAAGGAGTTTGGAGCGGCCAAAAGTCATCCCTCCTGTGGAGATGTTGGAATATGCGGCCAAATCCCACTTGGGATGGGGATTGTGTCCTTCTGCTCCCCACAAACCTGGGGATGGTTGTGGATCCCTCGACCACGTCCCTCTCTGGACATTTCCTTTTAGATATCCTTTATATATCCTTTGAAAGCAAGGAAAAGGGCAGGGAATGGGAATTGGGCATGGTGGGCTCCAACTCCAGCAGCTCCTGTGTATTCCCAGCAGGGATGATCCCTCCCCTTTGCAGAAGGGAACTCTGGATATCTCACCATGGGATAATTCCTTCTTGAGAGCGAGGTGAGAACGGCAAAACCTCGAATCCATGATTGGAAACATGGAATCATTTGGCTTGGAAAAGAGCTCTGAGATGACAGAGTCCCAGCTGTCCCCAGCACTGCCACGGCCACCACAAATCCACCTCCCCAGGTGCCACATCCACGGGGATTTGAAATCCCTCCAGGGATGGGGACTCCACCACTGCCCTGGGCAGCCCCTTCCAATGTTTAACCGCCCTTTCCTTGAAGGAATTTTCCCAATATCCAACTTAGACCTCCCCTGGAGCAGCTTGAGGCCCCTGAGGACACTATAACTGATCAGAGGAGACCTGGGAGCCCCTGGCAGGGCCTAAAGGGGCTCCAGGAGAGCTGGAGAGGGACTGGGGACAAGGGCTGGAGGGACAGGACACAGGGAATGGCTTCCCAGTGCCAGAGGGCAGGGATGGATGGGATATTGGGAAGGAATTGCTGGCTGGGAGGGTGGGGAGGGGCTGGAATGGATTTCCCAGAGAAGCTGTGGCTGCCCCTGGATCCCTGGAAGTGTCCAAGGCCAGGATGGAGCAACCTGGGATAGTGGAAGGTGTCCCTGCCCATGCCAGGGGGTGGCACTGGAGGTCTTTAAGGTCCCTTCCCACCCAGACAATCCTGGCATTCCATGATTCTGGAGCCCCTCTGCTCTGGAGCCAGGCTGGGAGAGCTGGGAATGTTCCCCTGGAGAAGAGAAGGCTCCAGGGAGAGCTGAGAGCCCCTGGCAGGGCCTAAAGGGGCTCCAGGGGAGCTGCAGAGGGACTGGGGACAAGGCCTGGAGGGACAGGACACAGGGAATGGCTTCCCAGTGCCATCAACAGGCAAATCCTTGGATTTTCCCCAAGGGCAATTCACAGCTTTACACACCAGCAAGGAAAAGCATGTTGGGAGGTATTCCAAGATGTGGGAGCTTGGATATATCCATGACAGGGAGGCAGAGATGGACACCTCGTTCCAAGGAGGCCAAAGCCAGCGGAGGATCTCCTGGGAAGGATCCACCACTGTTTCCCTGTGGTTTTGCTTCTCCAAAATCCACACAAGCTGGAACAACATCCCTTTTTTCCCTAGAACAACATCCCTTCTTCCAGGAACAACATCCCTTTTCCCAGGAACAACATCCCTTTCCCATTCTCCCTCTTCCGACCCAGCTGCTTCCAAGGGGTCCCCCCTTTACCTGCCGTGTGCAGGGGTGTCCTCCTGATGGTGCTCTCCGTGTCCCAGATCCCTGGGGACACATCCAGGAGGTACCGGAGCACCTCGGGATGCCCCTCCCTGCTGGCAATGTGGAAGCAATTCCAGCCATCCTTATTCCTCAGCAGCGGGTTGGCTCCGTGCTCCACCAGGGATCTGATCACCTCCAGGTTTTTCCTGGTGCAAGCCATCATGAGGGGAGTCCTGGAAAGAAAATCCAGGACTCGAATCAATGGGATAACCCGGGAGACAGGGAGGAACAGGCCTGATGTCCCACCTGGATCCAGGTGCACAGGGATCCAGGGGATTTTACAGCACTGCTTTTCCATGCAAGGAATACAAAGTGCAGCTCCTTTTCCACACAATCCCTCAGAGCACTGAGGCTTTTTCCAAAGGTTAGGGAGCACCCAGATCCCGGTTTTTAAATCCATGGATGGATGGGAGGGCACTGTGGGCCTGTGACACAAATCCAGGCACGGGCAGCTCATGGAATCTTGGCCTCCCTCTGCTCCCCCTGATGTCAGATCCAGGCTGGCCCAGCCTCAATTCCCAGCACTGGAATGCTGCCTTTGGAATTGCGTCGGTTCAGCTCTAGAGGAGCTTCCCGGGCTTGGATTTGGGAGCAATAATTTATAACTTTTAGGAGAAACAGGGGGAAATAAGTGACAAAGCTGGAATTTATCCCAAAAAGACACTGGATCCTGGGCTGATCCCACAGTGTGGGCAGCAGGAGAGGGAGGGATTTCCCCTCTTTACCCTGCTCAGGTGAGATCCCACATGGAATTCAGGTCTGGAGTCCTCAACAGCAGAAGGATGTAGAGCTGCTGGAGCAAATCCAGAGCTGCTCCCAGGGCTGGATTCCCTCTGCTCTGGAGCCAGGCTGAGAGAGCTGGGAAT